AGAGAGAGACTGACACGTGGCACTTCGCCCAATAAAGAAAACCAATGAAATAGGCAGGAGGAGGAGAAAGGAGGAGGAGGAGGAGGTGGATGAGGAGGAGAGAAGAAGACGAAGGGAGGAGGAGGAGGAGGAGGGCCTGCCGGTTTCGTATGGCGTTGACGAAAAAGAAAAGAAAAAAATGACGGAGGAGGAGAGAGAGAGAGAGAAATCCCGACACGTGGCACTTCGCCTACTAAAGAAAACCAATGAAGCAGGGAGGAGGAGGAGAACGGAGGAGGAGAAAGGAGGAGGAGAGAAAAAGACGAAGGGAGGACGAGGAGGAGGAGGAGAGAAGAAAAAGAAAAGGAGGAGAAGGAGGAGGAGGACGACGAGAGAAGAAGACGAAAGGAGGAGGAGGTGGAGGGGGAGAAGAAGAAGATGAGGAAAGGAGGAGGAAAGGAGGAGGAGAAGAAGAAGAGGAAAGGAGGAGGAGAGGAAGAAGAAGAAGATGAAAGGAGGTGGAGGCGGAGGAGAGGAAGAAGAAGAAGAAGAAGAAGAGGAAGCAAGGAGGTGGAGGCGGATAACACAGCCGCGAATAGAGATGGAAAGTGAGGGGCAGAGAGAAACAAAGAAAGAGTCGAACAATCGAGGCAAAAAGAGAGGAAAAGAAGGACAACAGGGTAGCAAAGGACACACATGGAATGACAAATGATGGCACTCACAAGTCTTGTACTTCAAGTCAAAGCTCTTGTGTTTACTGATTGGCTCATCCTCTTCAAAGACACTAAGAAGATACAGTTGCTTCTCCAAAACTTTCCGAGCAATCACACTCTGCAGGGCCAACCGGAGAAAGAGTTGCCAGCCAAGTGTTACATCTATGAGAACGGCCTTCATACAGAACCAATGCAAGACAAACATACGTGGACCATTGCAACGCCTAGCAGGCAACACCAACATCACAAAAGTTCATCACATATGCAGAGGACTGCTCGTGCAGGGAAGACGGTTGAAAGAATGCATACATAAATCAATCAATGCAAAAACAAAACGAAGTTTCCATGAGAATGATGCCCAGAGAGGCCGGGGTGAGGGGAGAAGCAGATGTAGGTAGAAGTGTCATAGGCGTAGACATACTACAAGCAACAGGCTGGGATAGAGGATCGACTGCACATAGAGACCAAAAGCGACAGGTAGGGATAGATGGCTGATTGCACATAGAGAGCAAAGAGGGGTAGGGAAAAGGGCCCGTCAGGGAGAATAAAAGACGATGGCCTGATGACTTTCAACAGAAAGCAGCAATAAAGGAAATGGGAGGGGGTTGGTGGCCAGCCCCACTGCAGGCAGACCACTAAGGGGGAAAAGGGTCAGAAAGAAGCGCAACGGTTCGAGGGCAGTAAAACAGAACGTAGGACGCCTCAATTACAATCCAGCATAGAAATGACTGCCATAGACAGAGAGAGGGGTATGAAGGAAGCAGGCAGCATTGTTGTAGGCTCTCCTCAGGGAAACAGGAAATGATACATCAAAACAACAATGCAGCCACCGAGTACCCGAGGACAACACCACCCTCACAATGTACTACCACAAAGTCTGTCACTCAATCCTGGAATATGGAACCACAGAACATTCACAAAATCAATGGCCGAGCTGTCACGGCAACAGAAACTCGGTAGGGTTAGGCTACCGGCTGACCACCCTGACCTTTCCTGCATCACAGAGGTGACCACCTGTGCAGGGCTGGCCAGTCAAGGTCCAGGTGAGGCTCTAGGCAAGGCCAGTGCACAATGGACAAACTTTCAAAAACAAAAAAAAAGTTAAAAAGGAGATCAAATGCTGTCTGACGGGCTGCCCCGACATCGACCGCCAACTTCTGTGCAGCAAGTCAAAGCAGCCCCCTACCAGTCGCTGGAGACTGATCAGAGAATACTAGCATGGCCCCTGTGCAAGGATGGCACAAATATATAAGAAATGGTCCAGCCAAGAAAAAAGAAAAGACGAAACACCTCTTTCACCATTAAGAAAATTTTTACTCAATTTTTTAAACACTTTTCTTGCAAAAATCACTCGATCATGGCCGTGATTATTTTCAGCTTTTAAACTACTCTGAGCAGTGCGACTCTCCAAAGTCGGCATTTTGCAAAAGGTCGCCAATCGGCTGTGCCCAAGACTGCCGGCCCACCCTCAGGGCCTGAGGTCAGCCATGGGCACAAAGTTAAACATGCTTTTGGCATCACGGGCATAGGCTGGTTGTTAGACATGACACAACAGGAAAATGCGGGTCGCATTCCAAGCTGCCCATGCTGAACTGTACACAAGATTAGACAGACCTTCAATTCCAAATCCAAACATCTCTCTGAGAGTGCCAACAGTCACAAGCCCTAGGAGCTACGAGAAACTGAACGTTCGCAAAGAAACACTGAAGAACACAAGAAATGATTGAAAATTGTTTAACTGCGTGTATGACCTTCGCCCCCACCCTCGCCCCCCCCCCCACATATACACACATTAATCCGTCATTCAGTGCGTCAATGTTCGACTACAGCAGTGCAAAATGCATAAAAAAAACAGGCAAGTCCTCAACATGGCTCATCATTTTGACTGGAACTGGGCTAGCCAAGGCAGAAGAGGGAGGAGAAACGCACCAGTTCCCAATTACCTGAAATACGTTTGTTCGATCTAGGCAGTCAACACAGTTTGTCCGAACAATACCCTTCTGCTCCTCTAACTTCTCTCCAGTTGCTTTTGCCAGAAATTGCCTGCACCATGCATAACATGTTTCACTCAGTAATGTTATCATTCACATGCAAAACATCTCTTGAGCATGGCCTCGGCTCCCTGCACTTATAATGTAGTTAACTGTGCTTCAGGTTCAGGAAGGCAGACAATATTCTGGTAATATCAGGGTGATGCATGATAGACAGAAACCCTCGTACATGGTCTTATCAGACTCTTGTGTTGACCACTACATGTACCACCTGCTTGAAAGAGTTGCACAGCTAGAATTCGCTGAATGATTCAACCATATTGCAGCGCATTAGTGCAGTGAGCAGTGTGCACGGGCGCACTTGGCGCTGTGCGTGCATTTTCCTGCGCGCACAGTGCGCAGTGCGCTGGGCACCTTCGGGCCTGTGCGCACTTGTGCGCAGAACACAAATGGACGAAGTGAACATAGATCATTTTTTTGTAGGCTAATGCGAGGGTGGCGTCTAGGAAAGAGGGAGGGTGGAAATGGAGGAAGGGGAGAAGGAGAAAAGTAAAAAGAAATGGACGGAGGTTGGGAATGGAGGATAGAAGAGGGAGAGATGTAATGAGGAGAGATGGAGGAAGGAGAACGCAGGCAGGAGGGAGAAATGACGAGATAGCTGCCCTGCGGAGTTGACAGTGAAAAAACAAAAAAAAACAAATGCCAGGTGGCGCACAAACATTAAATTCAAATTTGCACGCCACTTGGGAAAACTCTGAAAAAGTACTCAAAGGACGCGTGGAGGGAGGTAAATGGAGGAAGAGTAGGAGGGAGGACGGTGACTGTGACAGGGGAGAGGCAGAGCAGCGAGGCTGGGAACGAGAGGGAGAGTGAGAGCACACACACACGCTCACTCAACCTGACGCAGACTTGGCACGCCTCAATGGACGCGGACACAAACGGCAAAAGTCGCAAAGTCGCAGTCTTGAATTCCCGAACACAATGTTGAAGCCAAGTCACACTGATCACAAGCACTAAGCTGAAAAACTTGGTGTCCGTACTGGGCTTGGGTCCGTACATAAGTACCGGACTCGAGTACGGTCCTGAGGGCAAAAGTGAAAATGCCTCAGGAAGAGAACTTAAAATAGAAAGCCTGAGAGTGGGCCTGTTGCATACTTCGATGAGTATGGGCAGAACCAAAGATCAACCAATATAGGATGAGCATGTATGCAGCGGAAGTCTGATAAACGAACTGACTCACATGGCATCACTCCACACACATACAATCATGAGATGGTGGGGTCTGGGTCATTCATAGACGATACCCAGATCCCGTACACACATACACAGATGAAAGGTGGGAGGAGAGACGAAGGAGGTAGGAGGTAGATCACACCGATAGAGTCTGATAGGTCTCCGAAATGGTAGTCCAGAATGTCATATAACAAGATCAAAATGTCGAGGACCAAAGGTCACCAATGTCGGAGATAACAGAGTCCAGATGTAACCGGTGTCCAACTGTGATGCAGCCGAGTATCAACCTCAACAATCTCCAAGTCTCCAATCAGGTAAGTACCACAGT